GTGACATGGGTAGGCAGAGAGCTCCAGACTCGTCCGGCTGGACTTGGGCGCAGGCCTTGCCTGGGCTCTCCCTTGGGCTGGGAATTCTGCTTCTGTGAAGAAAGGGTGCCGGAGCCGCCTCTTGCGGGTCCAAGGAAAACAAGAAGCCGTCCCTTGGCCTAACACGCCCTCACCCACCTTACCTAGTCCCGCGGCACCCGCTGACTGGTCAGGCACCAGTGGCCCGCGGGGGCGGTCCGGATCTCAGCGACAATGCAGACCGGACGGAGAGGCCTGGGCGGCCAAGCCCTTGGCCCTGGGGGGTCCCTGCGCACCTCTCGTGTTTACGTATGCGCCCCCTTATCTTATATGTAACAGCAATATATATGTTAATTGAAAACTTCTGAATTTAAAAAGGTTGTGACAAGTTATAATTTGTCCTGTCAATGCCTGGAATCCTTATTTATCTCTTTAGCTTGCCTCCCGTTCGCGCCTGTCAGCTAACAGCTTGCCTAACTCGTTGACTTCCTCACTCATGGCACGGAAATGACAAATGTGCTGTTTTATCCGTACAATTTATTTCATTATTGTTGCCAGCACGACGCATCACAATCAATCATAAGGAAGTCCAGTTGGCAGGTGTCAGTCTTGGTGTGTTTTTGTACGTCTCAGTCTATATTTAATCCAATTATAAGGGTCACGGAGTAAGTGCCAATCCTCTTGTTACAACTCACATCTTATTTAAGATTTAAAGTAAAAAAAAAGTCAACTCCATCACATGGACCTTTGGGGGGCAGGGAGGGAATGCCTTTGAAACCTCCCCATCTCTCTCTTACTCTCTCTGCCTTCTCACCTCCAGTTTAAATTACGAAGCTATCCCTTTTTATTAAAGAGTTGCAGGGAATCTGAGTTTTATGAGCATTTGTGTGCAAATGAAGGCTCTCGTTATTTTGCTAAAGTAGAAGCAGACTTAATGATGAGAGATCTTTCCGCTCATTGCCCATTCAAATACAATTGTAGATCGAAGGCGGCCTTGTCACGTTGAGAAAAAGTGAATTTCTAACATCCAGGACGTGCCTGTCTACTTTCAGCGAATTGCATCCAATCACCCCCAGGGAATTCAGCTAATGTCTCAGTCTCCACCCGGACAAGGGAGAGAAAGAAATCAAACATGGTGCCACAGACTAACTTCACATGAAAACGTTTAGAAAAGAGGAAAAACAGAGTTTTCTTGAATTGATTGCAGTAGTTTTCCTTAGTGGGAAAGCAAACTAGAAGGATTTAGAGATTTTCCCAAATGTCCGAGAAAACTTTGTGGTGGGGTAGAATGGACAGAAAAGAGAAGAAACTGAGTATTTCTTTGAATGAGAGCAGGAAAATAATTGAATAGCAGAGAAACCACACTCTTGCATAAAGCATGCCATTATGCAGTTCTTTAAACCTGAGTGAAGAGATAGCAAATATTAGCTTTGCTAAATATTTCCCTTTTTGACACTCAGATTTACAAAACATTTCTCTAGTTTTTAATTAAAGCCAAAAGCCTGTTTTAAAAGCTTGCCAACTTACAAGAGAGGGAGAGGAGGGAAGGAAGAAAGGGCAAGAGCCACATGCACTGCTCAGTAAACTTAATTCCTAGGATAATAGATAATATATGGATTTCTGGCTCATGTACCTATTTGAAATGACACACAATATACACAGGTATTTTTTTTTTTTCTCAATTAGTCAGGGACTTTTGCCTCTTTGTCTATTGATCTTTATACAGAAGAGTTTTAGTAAATCCCTTTATAAACTGACACCCATTTAGGAATAATTTTAAATCATATGATATTATTTTAAAACAATGCTTTTTTAAAAAAATAGAAGTTAAGAGGATGCGTTATCCTCCAACTTAGTAAAATGAAATTAAAATATTGAAGGGGAAAAATCCATTTCTACTTTTCAATTGTTGCATGACTCAATGCCCATTCTCAAAGAAAAGAAAAATACCAAATCAATTCCTACCCACCCTATAGCACAGATCCAACATAGGGCTTCCTGTAATCTGAAAGCTGCTTGATTTGCATAAAACAGTTAGAGGGGTGAGAGAGAGAGAGAGAGAGAGAGAGAGAGAGAGAAACATACCTTGCGCAAGAACAACAGATCTCTGCTACAGTTCAAGCCAAGTCGCCTATGTCCCCTCTCTCTCTTCCACCCAAGCCTTGCCCTTTAATCCTTCCTTTCGCTCCCTTCCTCCACCCCTACGCCCTATTTCAGGCCCCTCACCCTCATCCCCAGCCCCCACATGGCCTCAGGGGGCTTCGCGCTGTGGCAGGCCAGGGCCTCTGCAGACCTGGCCGCTGCCAAGCTCGCTCACTGCTGTGGAGCATCAGAGCTTGGGACTGCCCTGGGTGTCAGGGAATCTGGTCTAGCCTGAGCTGAGGGGAAGCCTGGAAGAACCCGCTTCTGGCCCTTTGCACCCCACCGACAGCCCGCCTGTGGTCTCACTCAGCATCCCGGGTTGCCAGTCGTCGACGACGCCCCCGGGCCTCCCGCGGTGCCCTTCTGCCTGGTGCGGCCTGGAGAGACTGCCACTGCCCAGGCGGGTCGAGGCCGGGCCTCGCAGGCTGAGCACCACGAGGGGCCGGGCTGGGCCGAGCCGTCCACACGGCCGTGGCAAGCTGCAAGGGGAGTCCCCGACTCTTGGGGTTCTGGGGAGGATCCCCAGAGTTCTCTCGGGTAACAAACGACACCGGCCACCGAGTTTCGGCGGCGGCTCAACTTGCGCCCTCCCCGGTGGCGACCCCAGCTTTCCTTGCCCTTCCTTTCCTGCCTGCTGTGCCCAGGGCAAATGGAGAGCGGCTTCGGCGTTGGCCCGGAGCTCGGAAGAAGGGCCCAGTCCGGCCTCGCCTGCACCGCCCGCCGCTCCCGCGCGGCCCGAGCGCGCCCTTTATTGACAGGCAGATAAGCAGGCGGGGGCCGTGGCGTTTCCAGCGTCGCTCTCGAGCACCCTGCTGGGTTGCAGGGATCCGCGCACACTTAATGGCCTAGACTCCAAACAAGCCCGGAGCAGCCTTCCCCGCGGCCTCCGGTCTGGACAGAGGGGGTGGGTGGGGAGCGAGAAGCGAGGACAACTAGGGAGTAGGGAGGCCTACTCAGGCTCCGGGCCTATGACAGACCAGGGAGCGGGGGAGACCTCCGGCCCCCTGGGGCCGCGGACCGGACTGGGTCCTGGAGGGGAACCAGGAGATTACCACGAAACTAGGTCACGAGACATGGCCGGTGGCGGCCGAGGGGCCCGCAAACGCCTCCCTGAGCCAATCCCCAGCGAAGCCCAGCTTGGGGAGACAGCACAGCGGTAGGGTCTTGCCCCAGATTAGAGTGGCGAGTTGGGTAATGGAGGCTCCTTGCCGCCCCCCCCCCCCCCCCCCCCCCCGTCCCCCGACACCGGAAGACCAGAAGGTGAGATGGGGAGAAGTGTGCAGAACTTTATAAGGAAGAACAACATGCTTGGGCTTAAACCAGCAGGCTCCGATTCTCCTCCCCTTGCTCTACTCTACCCTCAGGGCCTCGGAGGGCTGAGCAAAAAATAAATAAAATCAAGCCCGGCCAGGAGGAGCCTGCAGACGGGCCCCCTGGACCCGCCTTGCAGCCTGTCGTGGAGTCCGACACCTGTCCAGGTGTGCTGGGAGGGAGCGGGGAACCGTGGCACCTCGCGAGCCTCCGGGTCCTCCGTGCTGCGCTCTCGCTTCTCCGCCCACACCTGAGTAAAGCGCGCAGGAACGGGCCCTGGAACCCTCTTCCGATCTAGTCCCCCCTCCTTTTTGCCACACACACCTGCTCCCAGGTCTAACCAGGACTAGGCTTCCCAGGAGCTGCGTGAAGGCCATTCTATAACCCACCACTTCCCTTCCTTCCACCTTGGTGAGAGCTCCCTACCCGTCCATGATGGACCTCGGTCACTTCCTAGTTCGACCCGGATGGAGAAACGAGCAGGAAGGTATTAAACACTATCTGGGGGGAGGGGGACACGAGAATGACAACGCGGGTCTAGGTACCCTTGAACGGTAGTCAGGTCCAGCTCTGCTAAGCCGTCTTCCAGTTCACGGCGGGTGTGAGTGAAAAAAAAACGAGCAGATCACCAGCTCAGTATCCAGCCCACCTGGCCCCCGTTTCTGTTGTGTTCTCGACTCCTGGAAGGGGAAGCTTGACTTCAGAACCTGGGATTTTTCCTATTTTCTTCTTCAAGGCCATAGAGTCAGCAGTTAACCACCAAGTGAAAGATTCATAAAATCACCTATATTTTCCGTGTGACTGGAGTCTCAGCCCAAAGGGGCGAGGCAGGTGCTGTTCGGAGCGTCCTCACAAGAATCTCGTTGGCTTGGCCAGGACTTTGGCGTAGCCTGGGACAAGGGCTCGTGTGCCCTCTCCCCAGAGCCCTCGACTGTGCCCAGCTGGTGACTTTGCAAGCGCGAGGGCCATACTGGGGTACCCATCGTTCCTCGGGCTCCTCCTGAAAACGATTCCTGCCAGAGGCCCCTCTCAACCCAGGCGCAGCCTCCAAGTCCCTCGGATAAAGTGACCCGCCCCCCGCCCCCCGCCCCCCGGTGATCCGAGGAGGGGACCGGGTGGGCACCGGGGAAGGTAGCTAGCCAGCCTAATGGCAGGGTCCCGCGTGCCAGCGGTGAGGAAGAGAGCACTCAGGAAGACTGGTTTCCTCGGGGTTGGCTACGCCCTAAAGAAGGGCTGAGCGGACCTGGGCCGGGTTGGGCGTGGGTAGATGCGGGCTGGACCCTGGAAGGCCAAGGCAGGGCACAGAGCGGGCCTGACTCAGGGTGGGGAGGGGAAGGCTCCCGCCGGGCCCAAGCGCAAGTCAGCGCGGAGCTGAGCCCAACTCTAGCCGCCATGACGTCACGCGGGTTGGGCAGCCAATGAGGGCCGCGCTGGCATGGATATTAAGGAAAGTTAGCGCCTGCCTGAGCACCCTCTTTTCTTATCATTGACATTTAAACTCTGGGGCAGGTCCTCGCGTTGAACGCGGCTGTCAGATCTGCCACTTCCCCTGCCGAGCGGCGGCGAGACGTGTGGGAACCCGCGCCGCCAGGCTCACCTGCCTCCCCGCCCTCCACTCCCAGGTAACCGCCCAGGCTCCGGCCCGCGTCCGGCTCGGGGCCGCGCCGCCTCTCCGCTGCTCGCGATGGGTGCCCCCACATCCAAGGCTGCCTCCAAGCAGCTCAGGGGCTTGACTTTTGCTTTTAAAAGGAGGCATTATAAAGGTGGAGTTAGTGAGGGCGGGATAGTGGGGGGGGGGTCTTTAGCTTTGCCGAGGGTGCTTTTCTGCAAAAGTAGCAAAATGTTCCAGTTCCCAGAGTGGACTTTCAGTTGGGTGCTGGGGGGGGGGGGGGGGGGAGGGAGGGGGAGGGGCGGGGAGAGAGAGACGGGGATCTGCTGCTGCTGCGGTCTGCAGAAGCCGCTCGAACCCGTGAGAAATGCAAGAGGCGATGCAGTTTGCACCCAGAACTCTCCCGAATCGCAGTTCATGACAAGCACTCGCGAAGTCCCCACCAGCGCCCGGAGCGTGTGCAAACGCCCCACCCTGGGTCGGGCGGAGCGCTACAAAAGTTTCCAGCGGTTGCAAAGTGTAGACGGCTGGACCGAAACAAAGTCTTAGAGATGGGAGTTCGTTTCTCAGAAGGGAGCGGAGGACGAAAGAATGCTGCCCGCAGAGCTGGGCAGCGCGTAAAGCCCCAGCGTGTGGTTTGAGCTTCACTTCGGAAGACCTAATAATTAACGATTCTCACTGAGCTAGAACGCGGGCTCCGGTTACCGCGGGCGCTGCGCTCGCTGTCTCGGTGGGAAGCTTGTGGGCGCCAGCGAAGCCCGGCCGCTGAACGCCCGGGGAGAGCAGCGCCGGGCCATTCTCCTGCCCCGGGACAGCCCAAACCCCGGTGCCAGAAGTTTCTCCGAAGTGGGTCAGGGAAAGGACCACCCTAAACTGAGGCTACCTGGTGGCTCTGCGGAGCGAAAGTTCCGAAAGTCCAGCCCCAAGTGGCCGCAGACTCCGAAGCGGGCTTAGGCATGGCATAGGAGCACGGGCCGGGGGGAGGCCTCTGCATCAGGCCCGCGCTCGCCCCTCATTCCCACTCGTGCCCTGACGCCCCCTCTCTAGACCTTTGAGAGGCACCTTCGGAGGACGTTTGTATCTCAGGCACCTGTGACAGGTGCTTGGGATCACTGTCCAACCGGGAGCGGTGGGCCCCCCTGCCCACCTTGCCTGGGAAGCAGGGGCGTGAGAGAAGTGGCCAACCCGCCGTGCACCTTACCTGGGCCTGGGTTCTCTCCTCCGCGGGGTCCTTCCTCCGGAGCTGGGCGGCAAGCAGGTTGCCCGCTTCGCAGTGGGAAGCGGACCTTCTCCTCCAGTCATAAATCAAACCCAGTCATCCTCGGGCCTCCTCCCTCATTAGAGATGTTTATTGGAGATCGTGTTTATTCGGCTGTCACGGCGAGAAAACGCAGTGACATAATTACCTCTGACCAGAGTTCTCTCCCCGCGCCCAGGGCGAGACTGAGACCTCCTCCGTCGCCTTCTCACTCCTGTGCCCTCCTTGATCGGAGGGCGTATGTGGTTGGCTTGTGCTTTTTTTCTTAGACCCTCTCATATAATTGGGATTATTGAATAAGTTACTATTCAATTTTCCCCAGGGCCTGGGCGTTTATTTATTTATTTATTTTAGAATCTGAAAGGAAAACCGAAGGAACCTAACGCCCCTCCGGGGCAGAAGGGGGCAGAGCGGTAGAGACGGAAGGAGAGTCCCTCTCGCTGCGCTGCGCTGCGCTGCGCAAACTTTCAGGCCCGCGCGGCTGCGGCGCAAGGGGCCCAGAAGCCACTCGCGCCAGAGGCGGCCTGAGCAGCGGGGAGCCGACCGGGAGGGATGGATGCCCATATTGCTAGTGATATTTGTTGTTTAATTTTTCATTCTTTCCCCTCTCCGGAGAAATCTCAGACTTCAGGGCCCCAGGTCGAGGATTCTTGAACTCTCCCCGGCGGAACTCCGCGGAGCCAACCTGCAGCTTCACCCCCCGCACCCCCCCCTCTAGGCTACGCCCGGCTTCGGTTCCCTCCCCCCACCCTTACTCTTCCACCCCCCACATCTCCCCCGTTAGCCAGGTTTGTAAGTCACCATCTGCGAGTCAGAGTTAAAAAGTGATGAAAAGCGCCGAATTGTTCTCTAATTGAAAATACTTTTTTTTTTGTGACCGCACCGACAAATATCTGGGATCCCCGCTTTTGATCCCTCGCTGCCGCCTCTGTCTCCAATCGCTAATAAAACTCGCATTGAGCCCCTTAGTGCCTTGATTAACAGGCAGATTAACTCTTACTGGGGTGGGGAACAGCTTGTCCCAATCAATGTCATTTTAAAAGCCCGATACGCTTAGCTCCGGTTCCCTGGCTGCTGAGCGAGCCAGCCATGACATTTGCTCCCTCCCCCTTCCCCAGCCACAAATCCCCCTGCAAAGCCCCCAGTTCCCAGCTCGCCGGTTCGTCGCTACACTCCCGGCCGGACACGTTGCAGGACTCAGTCCCTGGCCTTTAAAACAAGCAGGTGTTTTAAGACGCAGTCTCCTGGGAGAAGGGTCTGAGGTGGCCTTAGTTTGCTTTTCGTTTGAAGCTGAGCTCTTCTTGCGGCTTGAGGGAGGAGGTTAGGGCAAAGAAAAGACGGGGGGGGGGGGCGTCCAGGGTGATGAAATGGAAAACAAACTTTCCTGACAATAGTATTTGCAAAAACCGGAGAGTGCCACTGCTTTGCAAGTATTCTACATACCAGGAATTTTAAACCTGGCCCCTATCTGGACAACAGCATGTTGGGTCCGGGAAGCAAAGGCTTGAGAGTCCCACCTGCGTGCAGGCTGTAGGGATTTCCTCCCTGGGAAACCCAGTGGGATAATGCTTTTTTAAAAGTATTTTTCTTGGGGGAAGGGAGAAGAGAGAGAGAGAGAGACTCTTGAAGCCTAATGTGAATAAAAGAAGACTGAACCCAGAGAGCGCCTTGACACACTTGTCATTTGGCAAGAGGCGACGAAGGGCCAAAGCAGGGCGGCTTTCCGTATTTCCGCAGCCGAGAGTGGTCACAGCCTGGAGGCGCCACCCGGCCGGCTCCTGGCTCTCCTCGGCTTTCCAGCGGTCTGGGCTCGGCGAGGCTGCTGAGTGAGCTGGAAACCCGCAGGTTGCTGGAGAAAGGAGAGGGAGAAAGACCCTGAGTGGTGGAGGCACCCCGAACTGGGTGGCAGGGGTGGGCGCCTTTGCTGGTTTGCCCTGTTTCGCCAGGGTGGCCATCCTGGGAACCCACCTTCCTAGGGCCTGCAGAGAGAGAGAGAGAGAGAGAGAGAGAGAGAGAGAGAGCGCCCTTTGAGGCTCTGCAAAGTGAGCAGGTGTCTGCGGAGACTTTCCTCCTTCAGAGAAAAGCTCGTCCCCACCCTTCTCTGTGCGCCGGCACCGCGCCTCTGCTTGGCGGGGGAAAGCGGCAGTTTAGAGGTGTCGCAACACCGGGTGGGAGATTCTTGCTTCTGAAGCCGGAAGCCGAATGCACATCTCTCAAGAACCGGACACGTCTTTGCCTTGCCAGAGGCCAGCTCTGGACCGAAAACCTGGGGAGTGGGTACAGGCAAATACCAGGGACTGATGGGAGTGAGATGCTGCCCGATCTCACACTTGTGCGCCAATACGGGTGGGAGGCTCTGGGCACTCCCGGGGCGCAGCGATCCCCCAGCGTGGCTCCCACGCCACGGAGAGCCTCTCCTCCCGGGTTGGATGACCCCGGCGGCCCCTGAGGGAACAGGGCGAAAAGACGTCTTTCTTCGGCTCCAAGGGGCGGGAGGGGAGGTGTGGGGAACAGGAATACCTGGCGAGAGGCGGGAAAAGGCGACCCTGAAACGGAAGGCGCGATTTCCCCAGTTCTGGAGGGCAGCGAGTGGGCCTCGGTCCCGTTGGAAGCCGCAATTAAAATGGCGACCTGAGAGTTGTCTCAATTTTGCATACACCTCTGGCCCTGGCGTGCGACACCTCCGTCCCAGCTCCGCAGTCGGCCGCGCCGCCGCCAGAACCGGTACTTCGCAGAGGGCGCGAGACGCCACGCCAAGTAGAATAGCATTCCCACCCTCCTCGATTCCAGAGACGCCCTCCTCCAGGGAGAACAGGAAATCTCGCTCTCCAACCCTCTCTCCTTAAAGTTTGAAAACTCTGCCTCCCTTTGGGCTGAGCCCCCCCCCCCAAATATTGACACATTGGAAGCAGCCAAGTCCTTTTTGTTTCTTGTGTGTGCAGAGGGGTTTCCAAGAGTCCTCCCCTAGCCCCCACCCCCACCCGATGACGTCAGCGGCATTCACTCCCTGTTCCCGTCCTGTTATGATTTTTTTTTGTTGTTAAAACTTTTCTCCGAGGTGAGATGGGGGTTGAAGAGCGGGAGAAGGAGCTAATTCAAAGAGCCAGTGCCCTGGGGGGAAATAGCAACAAGATTATGGCTGCTTCTTTCCGAGGCGAAGCTTAAGAAGGTGCTAATCCACTCGGTCGCTAATTGAAAGGTTGTAAAAATGATATTCGCCTCCAGTTCGGACAGTCTCTGGGCCTCATTACCCCCACCCCCTTTGCTTATGCCCAATGGACTTGAGTTCAAGCTTCTGTAACGCTTCTTTGAGAAGTAAAAAGGGAGAGAAAAAGTACGCAGATTTCTGCTGGTCTGGGACCTGGGCCCGATGCCCCACTTCCCAAGACCCTCCTGAAGTCGCGGTCCTACGAAATGTCGCACTGGAGGCCGCTGACCCCAACGCCGCGCACCGACTCCTTGCCTCTGGCCTTGGTTTCCTCGCGGAACGGAGTGCTCCTGGGCCTCGCGGAAAGGGCCATCCCCAGGCGGAGAGAGTCAGCGAGTTGTGCAACCCCAACCTGGTCCAGGCGGAGGAGGCCTCCGTTCCCTCGGAGCTCTGCCCTGGCTCCTGGTCGCGGCGTTAGTGGGTCCGGGTTGGGGAGAAGAGTGTGAAGCGCCCACTAGGCCTGCGGCCCAAGGCAGCCTGCGACGTCCTCATGGTTCCAGCTCCCAGGGAAGGCTGCCACAACGCGTGTCGGCCGCGAGTTCGGGGTGCCCAGAGTTTGCTGATGAGCTCTGACTTTCAGCACTTTTCAGAAGTCAAGAGGAGTCAAGGGTACCCAGCGTGGCTTCCTTTCAGCCTCCCTGCCTCAGCTATGCCATCCCCATTCTCCTTTGCTGGGTTCCGGGGTATGACCCCCATCCCAAACCAGCCGCTTCCCTTCCACTTGGGCAGCAAGCTCCGAGACAACTCCAGACTTCGCAGGAGTAGACAGCCGCTCCCTCCCCTGTCACCTTAACTGCATGCGCCAAGGGGCGCCTTTGGAGTGTACTGAGGTGTGTCCTAATCGTCCGGCATTCAACAAATGGACTTCTGGTGTGTGGTCAGAAGAGAACAGCCATTTGCTTACTTTCCTCCCGGTTTTCTGGCAACAGCTGAAGGAGAGCTGCCTCCTGGGACAGAGCAGACCCAGGAGAGGGAATTTCGGTGTGGAGACACACGCATCGCACACAGATAACCAGTGGAACACATCGACACACGCTGACACACGGACATCGCTGGCGAAGACACACACACGGCTCTTCCCCAGCATTGGGCATCTTCCCCCACCCCAGGCCTCCACCACCCCTCCTCCCCTCTCATCTCCCCCTCGCGTCCCCTCCTCTCAGGCTCCTGGAAAAGCAGCCGCACTTAGTCAACAAATGGCACGTGGGAGAAGTTGGTGAGTGTTTGGTAAGGACTCTTCAGGGCTTTTCACAAGAACCCTCTGTACACAAAGTAAGTGGCGTGTTTGCTCGGGCCTCTCCAGCCCCGGCTGTGCCTCCGCTCCGCTGCGCACCGCGGCTTCCGAAAGGAGAAAGGACTGAAGAAAGGGCCGGGGGAGCAGGAGTGGGGGAATGGGCAGGCCCAGGAGGCCTGGACTGGGGAGGCCGCCGGGCGTCGCCTAGTTCCCAGCCAGGCGGCCTCCTTTCGGCCTAGGCTTCGCCTCGGCCTCCGCCGGAGTGTTGCTGCCGGGACCCAGTGGCGTTCAGTCCCTTTTTTCTCTTCTTCTTCCCAGCGGCCAGGTGGGCTAAGGCGCGGCCGCTGCTGTGCTCCGCGTCCCAGCGCCCCGGCGGGGACGAGGCAGGGCGGGAGAGAGGGCGGGCGGGGGCGGGGCGGCAGGCCGCGCAGCGCTGGAGTTGGCAAGAAAGGGCTGCGAGAAGCTGCAGAAACTTGCTCCCTCCAAGAGCTGAGAGTCCTGCACCCAGCTCAGGGGGGTGGGGGGAGGCGCGACCCTCAGCCCAGCGGCCTGCACTCGACCCCTCAAGTTCGTGGCCCCAGTGCGGGCAGCGCTGGCTCCCGGAGCGCTAGGAGCTTAGAGATGTCGGCGAGCGCCAGCTCCAGAGCCCGGGCTCGGGGGCCCAGCGCCGGGGAGAGAAGCCGGGACCCACCATCCGAGCCGAAAACAAGTGTATTCATATTCAAACAAACGGACCAATTGCACCAGGCGGGGAGAGGGAGCATCCAATCGGCTGGCGCGAGGCCCCGGCGCTGCTTTGCATAAAGCAATATTTTGTGTGGGAGCGAGCGGTGCATTTGCATGTTGCGGAGTGATTAGTGGGTTTGAAAAGCGAACCGTGGCTCGGCCTCATTTCCCGCTCTGGTTCAGGCGCAGGAGGAAGTGTTTTGCTGGAGGATGATGACAGAGGTCAGGCTTCGCTAATGGGCCAGTGAGGAGCGGTGGAGGCGAGGCCGGGCGCCGGCACACACACATTAACACACTTGAGCCATCACCAATCAGCATAGGTGTGCTGGCTGCAGCCACTTCCCTCACCCACACTCTTTATCTCTCACTCTCCAGCCGCTGACAGCCCATTTTATTGTCAATCTCTGTCTCCTTCCCAGGGATCTGAGAATTGCTCTCACACACCAAACCAGCAGCGTCCGTGGAGAAAACTCTCACGAGCAACTCCTTTAAAACACCGTCATTGCAAACCATTGTGGTCTTTAAGCAACAACAACAGAAAAAAAAAAAAAACAACCAAAAACCAAAAACCAAAAAAAAAAAAAACAAAAAAAAAAAAACAAAAAAAAATCAAAACCCAACCAACCAAAACTCTTGACAGGAGCATTGACGAGAGAGGATGCCTCATAAAGGTGAGTCCGCTTCTTTCTTCTTGCTTCATTTTAATTGCAATATTCAGGCAGGTCTCCCCTTTCCTCCCTCCTTCCTTCCTCCCTCTGGCCGGTCCCCTCCCCCACTGCTACGCCGGGAGAGTCGGGCCGGAGAAGTTTCCACGCAGGAGCCCAAACTTTCTACTTCCAGCGAAAGCCCGCGTCGGAGGGCGACAGCCGGCGAGCGGGAGCGGCGCAGGGCTAGGGGCAGGCGGCCGGCTCAGCCCCAGCGCCGGCGCCGGCACGGGCTAGGCTCGCGGGAAGAACCGAGGCTCCGGGCGCAGCAGCAACCGCGGCTCCCTGCCCCAGCGTCGCCTAATGCCCCCGGCCGGCGGCAGAGGACGAAGAGGCTCTGCGGTGCCCCAGGCCCGGGAACGGCTTCGGAGACCCGGCGCCGCCGGCTGCTTTGTCCGGCCGCGGGCCCCGCGAGCGCGCACGGAGCGAGCGTGTGCCGGGAGCGCCGAGGAGCCAGCTCGCCGCGCTGCCGCCCGCCCGCCCTCCGGCTTTGTGCGGCGCTGCGCTCGGGCACCGAGGAGTCCGCGGGCACTCGAGCGCCGAGGGGCACCGCGCCCGCCGCCAGCCGGAGCAGTCCTTCGGCGAGGCAGCCACCCGCCGGCGGCGGAGAGAAGGAGCGAGTGAGCGTGAGCCGAGGAGGAAGCCACCAGGCCGAGACGGTCGGACGCGCGCTCAGAGGGAGCTCGGAGCCGAGCGGGAGAGGATTGTCAGCTTCCATCAAGCCTCCCTCCCCGGCTCTTGCCCCCAACTTGAGAGCAGAGCTCGGAACTCGAAAACTCTCTGCTTCCCAGGCTTCCCCCCAACCATCGCCCTGGCCCGGCGACAGCTGGGGTTTCCCTATCCTCCAGCTCCCAGCGCTCGGTGGGTATTTTTTCTTGTCTTCCTCTGACAAAGCTACAACCCGGTGTTGCCGTTTCAACAAGTTTGGAAAGGTGGATTGCTTTAAAAAAAAAAAATTCAAATCTGATTTTTTTTTTTCTTTGTGAGGCCTCAAAAAAAAAAAATCAATATGAAAGCATTGGCTTTCCCCTTCGTCTGATCACATTCTCTCCCAGCTAATTAGTCTGAGTAATTTGAGAGCTTTTCGATTCTAAGACCCCAGGAGGAAAAGTGTCTTTTCAAAGTTCATAAAGTTGTTGCCTCTTTCCTTGTGCCGATTTTCTGAGTCTCCCTGGATGATAATAGCCCTGAATTTTAGCAAGTGTAATTGGGGGAAAATGGAGTTGAATTTCAAGTGGAAATGCTTTCTTTTTCGAGTGCTTAAACCCAGCCCTCCAGTCATGAGTGATTTCTAGAAAGTTTAAAAACAAAGTGAACGTGGTTTCTTTTTTTCTTCTTTCTTTCTCTCTCTCTCTTTCTTTCTTTCTTTTTTTCCCCCCTCATACTCTCTAAAGCTTCCTAAGCCATTTTGGACGTTTAACTCGAACTTGGGAAGGTTTGAGGAGGGGGCGGGAGCAGAAAATGAAATGAAAAGCAAAGAGCTTGAAAGCCTGGTGAGTTTACCAAGGACAAATTATAGTTGTTGCCGTTGACGTTACATTTTTTATAGCCGGCGACCTTTGCAAACCTCTGAAGGCAATTTGATTAGCTGTTATCTTATTTGGCCCTAGAGAGTAAAACTTTGTCATCTTAATTGCTAATTACTCTTTGGCTGGGGGCCGGTAGGGCCGAAAAGTGAGCTCTCTTCGTCACCCCAGCAAAGGTGTTTGGGGATGGATTTTGAGAATTAAATGATTAAAAGCGCTGCATTTGAAAACCGAGGCTCGGGTTGGGGATGGGGGGCGGCAGTGGCCCAGTGGCCTAGAGGACCAAGGCCCCACTGGACTCTGAAGCGTCTGGAGACGCTTTCTTTCCCCGGAGTGGAAAGGGCCGGGTTAGGGCTGTAGAAAGCCCTGGGCTGAGCTGGGGGGCTCTGGCTGCAACTGGGGGTTCTAGCCTCTCCACCCACGCCTGCTTCCGGGTGTCAGTGGCGCCAGCTTCCCGGGTTGCTTTTGCACTAAGTGTTAGCGATTACTTAAGTAATTAAGTAGCTTCTTAGCTGAGATAGAGGTGGGAATGGAGCAGAACTGGAACTTGAGACGCTTCCACCTTCCCAGTTGCTTCAAAAACTAATCGGCTGGGCCTCTCTGGAATCGCTAGTGAAATTTTTTTTAATGGCTTCAAGGATGTAGGGGCGGTGGGGGGGCATTCAGTTGTGGTTGAGGACAATGTGGATTCTAGAGAGGAAATTGGGGAGTTTTACCCCTTCTAAGAGCAGTCCACTTCCCCTCTCCCTGCCTGCTACTATTCTGCAGTTTCAGAGTCCCACTTTGAGAGGGAGCACATTCTTCAAGAAGTTGGGGTTTCTTCTGCCTGTCCTAGACCTGAGTATGGCTGTGGGGACTGAGAGATAGGAGGAAGGCCCTGAGAGCCAACCCAGCTAGAGGTAACTAGGTAGCCCTCTGCTGTCTCCAATATTTACCAGGCCACATTCGGAAGCTGGGTAAATTCCACCTCTTAAGTTTATTTTTTTATGGATTTAAGCTGCCTCCCAGCTAGTTAATAAACTAGACCATGAATGGCCTTCAAGGGAAAAAATGTGCTTCTTGGAATTCTTTGCTTGTAGGCAGGCAAAATTAATAATCACAATAAGCAAAACAGAAAAAAGAATGAATATTTTAGTTTTTTTTAAGCAGGGAGAAATAATGCTGTGACTATTTAATTATTTTACTTTTTTTTCTGCAAACCTCCTGAATAGGTTCTTTATTGTAACTCTCTCTTCCCAATTGAGCTCCCCACGGTGCCGTTGTATCTTTTTACAGCCCCTAACAACTCACACCAGTAACACAATTACCTCCAGATATTTATAACAAGAAATTACTTTTCTATTTTCTGTCCCCCCCCCTTCTTCAGGGAGGGAGTGGTGGAGGGTGAACCTTGGGGGACCCGCACTGGGTCAGGACTTACAAAGCTAGAAGTGTCCCTCTGTTCCCTTTGTGAGTTGGTGGGTTGTTGGTACATTTGGTTGGAAGCTGTGTTGCTGGTTAGGGAGACTCAGTTTTGCTCTTTGGGTTTGGGGAGAGCTGGAGAATAGAAGCCATTGTTCGCTGCCTGTAGGCTTTGTCGACCACGCTCACCCCCTCCTGTTCGTACTTTTTAAAGCAGTGAGGCGAGGTAGACAGCGTGTGTCACAGTACAGTAAAAGGGGGGAAGATCTAAACACCAAAAGAGAAGTTAATCACAATAAGTGAGGTTTGGGGGGGGAAAGTTGGGCTCGCTACTTTCAAAGTCCCAGAAAGGCTGGGAGGACGGTGGGGGTGGGGGGCTGACTGGGAAGCTCTGAGGGAGAGAGTGGAAGATGAAGGGGTAACCAGAGAGTTGGGTTCTGGCGGTCTTGGAGCAGCTGGGATGGTGAAGTTCCTTAAGGAAGGAATATGGGCTCTGCAGCCCTTCTGATCTGCCCTAGTCTGCACCCTCAGGCACCTTGAAGTTCTGAGATCCCCTTCCCCTCACCTCTGAACTTCGGGTATCAGTCTTTGGCCTTGATTCCTAATGCCATCGTTTCTCTGGTGCTCCCCTTTCCCTTTAACTGGTTCTTGATATTTTTGCAAAATGGTTCCCTGACTTGTCAGATTCTCCAATTTTCCCAAGCCAGGCCCGAGCACCTACTTTTAAAAGGTGGGCACTTCTGCAAGAGAGGCTGCTGGAAATGTGGTTGTAACTCTGGGATTTAGGGTTTTATGATAGTTTGAGCCCTAGATGCATGTTTTGTTTTGTTTTGTTTTTTTCTCAGAGTGTGACTCTGAGAGCCCATGGGCTTATGCTTTCCAGCCACAGCTTTGACATACCTTTCTCTCCTTTTGTTTTGTCTTAGGGGGAAGACTTTAACTAGGGGTGTGCAGATGTGTGAGACCTTTTATTGTAAGAGTGGACAGACTTCCCAGATTTCAGGCAAGTTCTGGTGGCCGCTTTGGGTTCCAAAACCTGAAAGAGTCAGAATTCTTTTCATTGTTGTCACACGGAAGAAAAAAAAATTCAAAATTGGGTTGTTTCTCCTGATTATAGAGTTAGCTACTAAGGGGTCTGGGGAAAACAGCTTGGGGATATTGGAGTATTTTATTTGTAGCCCAAAGGGTAGATTGTGTGTACACTGGAGGGCGGAGGTGGATGCCCCTCAGATGGCCTCAAGCGACTGAGTGGATCATTTCCTCAAGAAGGGACATTCTCCTGTCCCGGCTCCAGGTCGTCCTCTGTGGGGACGTAGGGCCTACGTGGTTCGGGCCCTGGATTAACGCCTATATCCTTGCTAACAGAGCCCTATATTCGAGCCCCGTGGGATCCCGCGGCCCCCAGCCAGCACCAGCATGCAGAACAGTAAGTGCCTCTGGTCTTTCTCAGACTTCGGGCTGGGGACACGGGGCCAGCAGGTCAGGGGAGGGCGCAGAGGTTCGCGGGTGTCCACGCTGGCCAGGCCCACCGGGCATGAGGGAAGAGGCCAGAGGCCGGGGACCTGAGGCAGCTGCGCCCCCCTTCGCGCCGGGCAACCCGAGAGGGGAGGACGTTTTCGCTGCTGTTCTCGCTCCTAGAAGAACAGGGGCTAGGCCCTTCACAACAGCCCGCTAGAGTTTGTGAAGCTGAGGTAGAGAAACTCCATCCCCCCCAAATCCTGTAACTCACACCCCCTCCCCGCCCCTGCCCGGGCTCTGACCCCAGAGAGAGAGGCTGGGCTGAACAGGGAGGGGCGGAGGCTTCTCCTAGTTGCCCAAGGAGAAGGAGGCCCCTTAGGGTTTAGCCAAGACTGCGAGTCACCACCGTCAGGGAGGGGTGTGGGGGCTCCCCTCCCCCAGTTACTCTCAGGACAGCTCCTCCCCTCCCCACCCCAGCTACCCGCCTAAAAGGCAAAGGGAGCGGGGAACCCTGGCCTGCGTGGTGGTGGGGGGCGGGGGCGGCGGTAAACTGGATCCCTGGGGCTGTTACTGGCCAGAGCAGGTCTACTGGGTTTGGGGAGAGGCTGGGTGTCGAGCCTTGGAACTAGAGAAGCTCCCTCCTGGTAGCTGCGACTGTGCGGGTTCTGATCGGTCCAGGCCCGCAGTGCCTTCGATTCTGCGGCTCTTGGGCCTCCCATCCTCTCTGTGCTCAGGCCCTCTGGGCCCCAGCGCACCTTCCTCCCCAGTGGGGGCACCGCTGGGGTGATGGCGGCAGTGGGTGCTGGTATGTGGCAGGGCTAGTGTGGAGCCCGAGCCTGGAAGCCTGGAGGCCCAGTGAAACCAGGCCTGGGCTGAGGTTCAGTGTGGACGCGGCTTAAGGGTTCAGCTGTACGAGGAGTGCAGAAGGGCCTAGGCCTTCCGGCAACCTTCCCTTGCCGAACCGCAGACCTCGGAGGCTCTCCAGCGCCGGATCCATCAGGCCTGGAGGCGCCGGCCGCCCCAGGCGCTTCCGCGGCTTGGTGAGCGCGAAGCGCAGGAGGGGATTCAAAGGTGGCGAGCTTTAAGGCGGGTTTAGTTGTGCAGAACCTGCCAGGCCCGGGAGGGACCTTCCTTGGCGAGGCAAAGGCTTCTGCCCACCTCTCCCGGCTGCTGGGTTCTCCCCCTGCAGCTCAGACTCCCCAGCCGCAGGCTCCCGGGCCGGTCCCGGCCGGGGCTCGCCGCGCCGAGCGTTTGCCGCCGCGGCCTGGCTGGCGGGCCCCGAGGGGCGCGGGGTCGCGGGCCGGCCTGCAGGGCTTTGTGCCGCCCGCTCCCGGGTGTGCGCGAGGCGCGGAGCATCCAAATTGACACCATATGTTTTCCTATTAGATGCTTCGCGGTCGAATTCTAGGCGCATAATCATCGCCACTGGGCGAGAGCGCCAGCCGTCCCTAGGGAAGGGACACAATGATTGAGGCTTAACCTCTGAAGGGGAACTTAGAGCTACGCTTCCTCGCTGCCTTTTCGATGCTGGCAGAAGCAACCTGGCCCTGGCATCTCCTGGGCGGGCACCCGCCTACGGTCGCCGCGGAGGTGGCGGGCACGCTTTTTTGTTTTTGTTTTTTGTTTTGTTTTTTTTGTTTGTTTCTGTTTTGTTTTTTGTTTTTGCAATGAGGGGAGAAGGAGGGAGGTCTAGGATTAGGCGGCCTCACACGCCTTGGCATTCAGAGCCTGGGAATGGCCCAGGCGGTGCGTGAAGTTTGTAAAGTCTTTCTCGGTCTCTCTCTGGGGCAGCCTTTCTCTTTCCGGGAAGGCTCCCTAGGCCCAGAGGGAAGGCTTCCCAGCCAGAGCAGCAGACTGGTGTTGTGAGGCAAAGGAAGGCAATGAAGGGAACTTAGGAGAACCCGGAAGCGCCGACGAGGCCTTGCTCTGTTGCAGAAGTGTTGTCCCGGCCCTGTCTCCGCTCGGCTCGCGCTGGGCCGGGCCGGAGCCCAGATCCCCCAAACGCCTGTCACTTCTCATCGAGTTGAGGCTCTGCCCCCCCTCCCCCGTCGTTGAGGGCCCCCCTCCGCCCCAAGCCTTCGGCTACCCTGAAAACTCGGCTCCCCTCGAAGGGGAAACGAGTGCAGTTCAATCTCGTCTGAGTGATCTACAAATAGGGACGGAAAGGGTCGTTTTATCACGGTCCCGTTTGTCGTGACGATGCAATTTCCCGGAGCGGAGCACTGTCACAAAGTGACAAGGCTGCCACTAGCGCCCCGACTGATCTTTTCAATTAGCCTTCCATGCATGATCCGGAGCGACTTCCGCCTATTTCCAGAAATTAAGCTCAAACTTGACGTGCAGCTAGTTTTATTTTAAAGACAAATGTCAGAGAGGCTCATCATATTTTCCCCCCTCTTCTATATTTGGAGCTTATTTATTGCTAAGAAGCTCAAGCTCCTGGAGTCAATTTATCAGAGGCTCCAAGGAGAAGAGAGAAGAGGAGAGAGAGAGAAGGGAGCTGAGCAGGGAGCCACGTCTTCTCCTGGAAGAGCTGCTCTCTAGAGTCCGGGGCTGCAGGTTGGAGATTTTTAAGGAAGTGGAAATTGGCAATTGGCTTTATTTGTGTGCCTGTGGTTTCTGGGGAGGGGGCTACAGAGAGGTGCTAACTCCCTTTCCCTGTTCTCTAAGATTAGACAACGGGGGTGAGGCTGTGAGAATAACAAGATAACGGAGGGATAGAAGACACTGTGGTGTGCTCCTTTCCTTTTTGATTTTTGCTAACATCTGTCCTCGGGCCGTGTGGAAGGCCAAGTTCAGCAGGGGAAGTACAGCGAGCTGTGGCCTGTGCGAAGGGACTCCCAGCTCTCGTTTCCCCCAGCTGCAAGCCGGCAGACTACTTTGTGGTTGGAGCGATCTGAGGCTCTGACCCTCACGCCTGTACTGGAGGCGCAGGTTGGGGTTCACCAGCCACAGATCTGCTGCTCTGGTTCTTCTGTATTCCTTTCTTGTCTCTTCATATGTATATGTAATGTAATAATATATAATATATACATATATATTACAAAAATATATATTACATATATATATATATATATATATATATGTATATGTATATAAAACAACAACAACTCCGGTGCTTGTGTGGTGCCTCCACCAGAGTTTGAAATGTGACAGCAAACGTTTCTGGGCTGTGGAGTCCGAGAGAACGCTGAAGAGCTAAAGGATTTGCTGTAACAGTTCTAACAATGCAGGGACCTTGGAGATTCCGTGTGGGTTCTGTAGAACCCATGTTTTGCCGTGACATTCAGAGGGGATCTTTGGAAGTATATTTTCTGAAGTGATTGTTTGTACCCTGTGGGTTCAGGGGCTGGCTGGGGTGTTTTTATGAAGAGGGGCAAAGGGCTGGAGTGACAGCGGCCAGGAGGTGCATGTGTTCTTGCTCAGTGGACTGGGTCTGTAACACCGCGGGGCTGTGTTTGGGCTGGGCTGCCTGATGCCCCTCCTGGCTGCGTGGTCCCAGAGTCGTTTTTGATGGATAGCAGGGACTTGATCGCTGAGGTTGGCATGGGTTGGCAGGGAGCTGAGGATGCATTGTGGTTGTCTTCTCTTCCTCTTCTTCTTCCTCTTCCTCCTCCTCTCTTGACTCTTCTTCCTCTCCTCTCCTCCCTGCTCTGCTCTCCTCTTCTCTCCTCTACCTTTTCCTCAGGTCACAGCGGAGTGAATCAGCTCGGTGGTGTCTTTGTCAACGGGCGGCCACTGCCGGACTCCACCCGGCAGAAGATCGTAGAGCTAGCTCACAGCGGGGCCCGGCCGTGCGACATTTCCCGAATTCTGCAGGTGATCCTCCCGGCGCCGCCCCACTCGCCGCCCCCGCGGCCCTCCACTCTCAACGCCCTCTCTTCATTTCTTACTGTAAACGCTGCTAATTATGGACCCCCTTCACACACCCACCCCAGCCCCTACCCCACACCCCTGCCTTCCTGGCTTTCCCTTTTCCTTCCAGCATCCTTCCCTATCTCTTTCAACCTGGGTCAGTCACTTAAGCTAACTCATCTGCTTAAGGAAAAAAAAAATGTGTGTGTGAATTAAAAAAACAAAACAAAACAAAAACCAAACACCTTTCTCTTTTCATTTGGTAAAATCATCAATTGTGGTAACAGTTTATGAACTATAATAAGCTGAGTTACATAAACCAGCATAATTTCATTCCCCTCTCCCTCATGCCACACTCACCTCAGATTTTGAGATATTTGTGTGTTTTTCATATTCATGAGGAATAGTTATTGATTTTAAAAGGCAAATGCTATTTACCTCCCTATCTAACTCACATTTACAAAATTGGGCATATTTTTAAAGGAAAATAAGTAAAATTTTAGTTTATTTCCCCCCCCCCCGTTTGCTCATTAAAATATGGCACTACTTTAAGCAAGGTCAGCACAAAAAAAATTATCTGACTTCGTTTTGATGCATCTTCAGTCAATGTTTAGGAAACAGTTTTTTTTTTGAAAAAACTTTAAACTTAGGGTTTTTTTTTAAGTTCAAACTGTTTTAAAGTATCATCATATTTGTAGTTTTTAGGGCTACAAATGTAATTTTAAGAAAAAAAGCTCTCTACAGTAAGTTCTCATACCATTGAAGGTATATTTTTGTGTTATAGACCCATGCAGATGCAAAAGTCCAAGTGCTGGACAATCAAAACGTAAGCTTGTCATTGTTTAATGCATACTTAAACAATTTTATTTTTGTCTTGAAATTATTAATAATGTGGTTTTCTGTCCACTTCCCCTATGCAGGTGTCCAACGGATGTGTGAGTAAAATTCTGGGCAGGTATTACGAGACTGGCTCCATCAGACCCAGGGCAATCGGTGGTAGTAAACCGAGAGTAGCGACTCCAGAAGTTGTAAGCAAAATAGCCCAGTATAAGCGGGAGTGCCCGTCCATCTTTGCTTGGGAAATCCGAGACAGATTACTGTCCGAGGGGGTCTGTACCAACGATAACATACCAAGTGTAAGTTCACTGAGAACATTCTCCCTCCCTGCCCTATGCCCCAGCTCTTTCCTCTTTACATCTCTCTCTTCATTTGCCTACCCCCCTCCTTCCTACCAGTGTCATCCTGTCTCCGTCTCCTTCCTGCTCTCCCTATGTCACCTCTGTAGCTGAGGGTGTTGAGAGGAGCACACTGGCCTTTTTTTGATCTCCTGGAAAATGGGAGTCAAGTGTGGGGAGCTGTTCACCTTATTTGCATGCTGCAAAGTAGAGGGTGGAGGCACCCAGGGAAAGTCACTTGAAAGAAGAAGGAAAAGGAAAACAAAAAGCAAAATCTAACCTCCTCCAACCTAGACTGCCTGAACCTTCCTTCGGGTGTCAAATGTCCACTTCTGCCTTTATAGAAAACAAAGTGAAAGAAAGCTCTAAACCAAGCCTGTCGTCTTCTTCTTCCTCCTCCTCCTCTTCCTCCTCCTCCTCCTCCTCCTCCTCCTCCTCCTCCTCCTCCTCCTCCTCCTCCTCCTCCTCCTCCTCCTCCTCCTCTTCTTCTTCTTCTTCTTCTTCTTCTTCTTCTTCTTCTTCTTCTTCTTCTTCTTCTTCTGGAAATCTTTTAACAAAGATTAGGTCACTACAGACATCCAGCAGCAGTGAAGCAAATGCCCTCTCCATCCTACATTCTCTACCCAACTCAGTTTCCACGGCCAGAGTGATGGCTGTCATTCTGTCCACAATGTCTCTGCAAATCTACCCACTGTCCCAGGATGGCTGGGAGTTTTTCTTTTTAATGTGTTAAGGGTCCTTCTTTAAGGGAGTGGGGATGGGGACTGAAGATAGGGCAACTGTCTTCAGGAGACGCTACCATTTGGTTTGATTTTGGTTTGATTTACAGGTGTCATCAATAAACAGAGTTCTTCGCAACCTGGCTAGCGAAAAGCAACAGATGGGCGCAGACGGCATGTATGATAAACTAAGGATGTTGAACGGGCAGACCGGAAGCTGGGGCACCCGCCCGGGTTGGTATCCGGGGACTTCTGTGCCAGGGCAACCTACGCAAGGTAAAAAGCCCAAGCACCTATCCTCAAAACTCTTCATATGTCAGCCACTTGCCCATCTTTTCCTTTTACCCACTTCTGTGCTTGAAGAATGTAGTTCAGAGACTCTTCCAAGGCTTGGGACAGATTGACTTGCCCTGTTGGAGGATGGTATTTGTTGAACTATCTCACTGGTCTTCGAATTTGAGGATTGTGTATATCAGGACTAGGAAGGATGTGGCGGGTGTGCATGTGCGCATATATGTTTTGGGCAGGAGTACGTGTGTAAGAGCTAGCTGCGTGGTGCCCTATTCAAATTTGCCATTAAAATGCACGGAGAGTCCCCTTGCTGTAGAAGTGTGACAAGTTAACACACTGACAGGCTGCGAGGTAAACATAATTGTATCGTTTTGCTTTTTGCCGTAATTGACAAATTATGTGAGTATGAGTAGGGTGCATATGAAAGGGCGAGCAGCAAGATGCAGGGCAGAGTACAGGATAGGGCACAGGGAGCGGTGGTCTCCCAACTCCAACAACACCATCATCTCCATCGTTACCTCCGTTCCTCTGGGCCCCCAGTTCTCACTCTCTGTGGGTGGCGACTGCACAGAAGGGTGGGGTGAGGACACTGTGAGCCGGCCTGCGGGGTGTCCGGAGCCGCTGGGGGGTGTTGGGGGTGGGGTGGGAGGAGAGAAGGAATCAGGACCCTCGCAGCATCTATGAGAAGGAATGGGGTAAGAGGAGCAGATGGGGGTGGGGTGGCGTAGGTTGGCTCTCCCCTCCCCTACACACCCCGAGGTAGCTTGGTCAAGAATAGGAAACAGTTTACTCCGAAGATTAATCGGTATTTGTTGTCCTTGTGACAAGGAGATAATATGCGGGATAATGGGACGTGGCGTCTCACTCCCCGGAGCCCGACGAAGCCCGGGGGCTCCGGGCCGGGGGCGGCAGCGCGGGGACGCCGACCAGGCTGCCCGCGCGTCAGTGCGCTCTCGGACCCGCTCCGGGTGCGCCGCGCCTCCACGGAGCCGGGCTAGAGAAGGGAAAATCGGTAACAGTATGCGAAATATCTGGTACAAAGGATGCTTCTGTCACTCGCAAGAATTTGTTATGGGAACAATCCTGTCGCTCTGTAATTGCTCATTAGAGAACGTTTTGTTTCTCATTAAGGCGACATGAATAAGCGTCTAGTTGAAGGAGACAGCTGTAGAAATGTTCCACAAGAGACCTCTGGACACGATTCGGCACCAATTGCCAATTAGACATGTCAGTTTTAAGAGCAGAAAACAATATAGGACGGACACTGGGAAGATAGGGAGCAAAGCGCTTGCTCCGTGTTTCCCAGCGCGGCCGCTCGGCCGGCAGAGGCCTCCCGATGCGCTGGGCCCGGGCTCCCCTGGGCGACCCCGCTGGCCAGCTCGTCCTATCCGGTTCTGACCCCGCGGCCTCCTGGGGTGCAGCCAAGGCCGAGGCCCAGGCCTACTCCCGCCTCTGATGAGGACAGGGAGTGACAAGGCTGAGTGTAGACCACCACACCCTCACCTGACCTTTGAAACTGTCGGATTCCCACGTGCGCACACTGGACACACCCAGGAGACACCCGACCTTGGCATTCTCCAGCGCCCGCCCCTAACCCCCCAGCATCCTGGGGTCCTCGTGACCCCTCCCCCGCCAAGTCCGGCCGCCAGGGTCCGAGAACACTTGGGGACGGAGCAGTGAGCGGGCCCGGGGGGTGGGGTGGGGTGGGGTGGGGGCTGAGCCCGGAGCCTCCACGCGCGAGTCCTCTCGGCGCGAGGGCTCACGTTAGCTGGGGGCCTAGAGCATGTCCACCCGCCTGCTTTCCAGAGCCGGGACGCAAGTCCCGGGCAGCCGCTTCCGCCAGAGGTGGCGCCCGATTAGGGCAGCTTTCCGCCCCGGGAAGCTCGAGGGCGGGAAGCGAGAGCCTAACTCAACGACCCTGTGGTGACGGTTGCGGCGGGAGGTGGCGCTAGTTCAGGAGCTTTTAACTTTTAGGCGCCGACTCGCTGGAGCATTCCGACTCCCCAGCTGTCAATTGACCCTCCGCCTGCATAAGAAACCCACTCGGGTGCAGCGACCGCGGGCGCCGACTACCCCTCCCCGCCCTCTACTGCTGGGGGGGAACGCGTCGGAGCTCCCCTTCCGGAGCGGGGTCCCGGGCGTGGGGGCGCGGGGCGCTGGTGGCGGGCTTCGGCGGGTGCGCCCCGGGAATCCCCAGACCTTTTGGTGCTAAGAAGGCCCTCTCCCCTTCGCCCCCTCTCCCGGCCCGGGAAGCCGTTTTGGGGTTTTAAAGAGTCCATTACTCCGAAAGCATAAGGCGAGGTTAGGTCTCAGAGGGAGACAAATATGGTTTCCATCTGATCAACGCCATGCGGCGGTGAATAAAATCGTGACGACGTGGGCTGACAACGAGAGACAACTCTATCCAGCCCCAATCCTCCAGCGATTTGGTGGTTTTAGGGATCACGGAGACACTTTTTCTTATCTCCTCCCCCCACCCCCAACCCCCATAATACCCAGGCCCTCTATAGGATTTAGTCAGTCTCTTTTCAACAGATGCTACAATGTTTTGATCCGCGCTCTAGAGCTGAAAAGGTGCCGCAACCGGGTTGCTATCTTTTCTTGCTTGTTTTCCGCCTCACTGATTAAGACACTAAGAAACCAAGGAATGATTTTATTTCCCAGCGTCTTTTTTTTTTTTTTTTTTTCTCCTCTCCTTCTTCCAGGAAACAAATCCTATCCCCGGCGTCAGATGGTCCTGGGGCTGGGATAATGGGAGACGCTTTCACTGGCCTTCTCACGGATTAGGCTGGAAGGTGGACGGCGCCCATTGAAGGCCTCTTCTTTGCGCGCTCCGAGGGGGCGCCTTTTAAAGAAGATATCTTAATTGTCTGCCACTTAGGTTTATCATAAGGAGAATTCGAGACCCAACTTTTAGTTTTATTTTGTTAAAAGCTTTAAGAGTGGAAGGTAAATCCACTAAAGAAAAAAAAAGGGGGGGGGCGCCCAATCTAAGAGTGACTTTTCCTTCAGCGCCTGGCTGCGAACAGTTGCTACTTTGACAGCAGCAAACAAACTTTAAACGGGGCACGCCTGCTCTGCGGGGTCGTGGCGGGATCCTGCAGCCACGGGTTTCTCCTGACCTGCCTCTAATTCCATTCCGTCCTTCTCCCAAAGGGCTCTCTATCCCTATTGACTCAGTTCTCAAATCAGAGCCACACCTGCAAAAGTGTGTAAGAGACAGAGACACAGAGAGAGATGGGGGTGGGTTGGGGGAGAGACCGTGCAACTCTCCAAGTTTTAATTTAGGAAAATATCAGAGAAGTAGAGAATGCTATCTGCAGAGGTCTTACAAGGGAGACCTGGGCAGCTTTAATTGGTAACATCGAATATGCCAGAAAAACGACTGGGGTGGGCGTGAGTGACCACCAGAGCGAGATAGGATTGTGTTCTCCTCAGCACCCCAGTCCCTAAATGTTGGATGGTTGGAGATTTTTGTGTTTCCCCAAAGCAATAACCCACAGAACTAGTTTCTGGTTGGCCGAAAAGGACTATTTGTAAAGTCTTCCTCATTCCCTGAATCTGAAAATAAGGGGGGGGGGGTGTCTCTTCTTTCTATTTTGAAAAATCACCCGGAAACTTGGGGCAGTAAATTAGTACAGACACTTGTGCTCACACACGTGACTCCCACAGCTAAGTAGCCCTCTCCCACCCCTCTCCCCATCTCTCTGAAGGAGCAGGAGACGACCCAAAGTAGAGCCAGTCTCTTTAGTAATTGCCTCTCTCTGTCTTCCTTTCCCCCTTTCTCTCCTTGTCTTCTTAGACCTTCTTGCCTCTTTTTTTTTCTCTTGGCACTTCTGTCCTTCTTATACCTTTCTGGGCTCTGTCTCTTTGAAGCCCTCCCTCTTTTCCCGCCTCCTCTCCAACCCCTCCCCCTTGGCCCGCATCATCCCTTTCCGCTTCCCTCCTTACCTCGGACCTGGTCTCCACCCTCCCTGCCTTCCCCTTCCACCCTCCCACACAAGCCTGCCTGGTCCCCATCCGCTTTTCCTGCCTCTCCCCACCCCCTGCTCTGGCCCCCCATCCACCCTCCATCCCCCCAGCCAAGCGCCCTAAATAGCATTGAGGCCCCCGCTCTTCGGACAGTGATTAATGATAGCAGAGCAGAGGGGTTAACACACTTCACTGAAAAGTCTGTTGACTGGGCTTCTTGTAACACAATGTGGCCCGCTGCACGCCTCAAGAGAATCCTTTTGTTGTCCGCGCTCATTGTGGCCTCAAAAATTCTGCCCACGAAAGTTTGCCAACGCTCCTGCCCCAGGAGTTTAATAGTTTCCCTTACTCACGGGGCATTGTGTGGCGCTGAAAAGCAGCCCCTCGCTATTCAAGTGTTGGTGGTCATCTCAATAGATCTCCAAGGGCCCATATGGTGGCCAGTGCCGATGAATCCGCCTGTTTAAATGGGGGAGAAAGTTGGGGTTTTAAAACATTTCAAAGTTTCTGAAAAGATCCCACTAGATCCTGTCACAATTCTCTGAACTCTTTGAAGGCGCTGCCTATTGTCTCCTGGTTATAAATGATATTCCTGGCCAAGTTGATTCCCACCAAGGCGCCCCTAGAGGCCCCTCCTCCCCACCGGCTACATTTCTAGGATGGGGGGGGCAGCCCCTGTTGGTGTCCCTTGGGGCCCTCGGGACCCAAGACCCAGGACCCCACCTGTAGTGGTTCGGGAGGCCCGGTGAGGGCTGAGTGCTCCCTTCAGACGGGCTGTGGCCTCAGGAGCAAGAGGCAAGGCGAGATACAGCTAGCCCAAGTGTACATCTTCCCTGGAAGCAGCAAGGGAAAACAATAAAACTTTCCCCTGTTTAATGATAGAAATTACAGTAAAAGTGGTGGAAATGCCCTAATTAAAAATGTACCACTTAAATGATATGCCAAGGACTCAGCTGCAGCATATTTAGCTAGTTAGTGAACTCTCTACTATTTCTTTTTTAAAATTACACGTTAAAAATTTAAAAGAAATCTTACTTTTCTCTGGTGCAACACATTACAAAGAATGGACAGTCCTTTTATCTAAATATAAAATTCCATTTTCAGCAATTATAGCCTGTTCTTGGTGATGATATAATTACAGCTGTGCTCGTAATAGGTGTCAAGGCAAAGCGCACTCATACAATAGTTGAATAAAACTGCAGAACAATGCAAGCATTTCTAAATTCACAACCTTTAAAATGAAATTGACTGTGCAGAATTCAAATAAAAACTAGATAAATATTTTTTTAAAAAGATTACAAGCTTGGTTTGGTTTCTTAATAGCATTTTCTACAAACCTATCAACATCTAATTGATTAGATAGGAATTACTGATTATAGATCAGCTGAAATCTTGAACATCACTCTTCTATTTTCCCAACAGAGCTATAGGTAAATAAATTCTTTAGGGAAAGGGGAAATGGGTGAGGCATTTGGGACTCAAGGTTAGTTATGAAAGACCATTTTAATTGGACACTTCAGCACTTGTTTTGTTATTCAAAGAAATGCCACTCTGTAATGTCCATATTGTGCAGTCTCTTCTTGATAAAAACAGAGAGAAAGAAAGAAGGAAAGAAAGAAAGAAAGAAAGAAAAAGAAAGAAAGAAAGAAAGGAAGAAAGGAAGGAAGGAAGAAAATGGTGATAAGATAGTGTTATGTCACTAATGTCTTGTATTAGAAGGAGATTGACGCTTAGTTACCTTGGGAATGTCTTGGTGAGGCTGTCACAGTGTACTCCTCTTGGAGTTTATGGCTATACCCAGGCCACTTTTGGAGGCTTGGAGTTATCCTTGATTTCTCTTACTGTCCTCTTCTTTTTGTTCCAGATGGCTGCCAGCAACAGGAAGGAGGGGGAGAGAATACCAACTCCATCAGTTCCAATGGAGAAGATTCAGATGAGGCCCAAATGCGACTTCAGCTGAAGCGGAAGCTGCAAAGAAATAGAACATCCTTTACCCAAGAGCAAATTGAGGCCCTGGAGAAAGGTGATGGAGTTTTTCAAAGTAGGGAGGCCGTAAATCAAACTAAATGCCACATCTTCAGTACAAAGAGCTAAATTTAGCCAGGGCCCTTTGCATAGAGGACTGAAAAGCTTTCTTTTCTCTTTCTTTTCTTTCTTCTTCTTTTTTTTTTTCCTGGGCATCTTTTCAGTGTGTGTGTTTTCTTTCTTCTTTTCATGTACCAGTAATTCAAAGACTATGAGTCTGACTTCTCATAAAGAAAAAAAAAAACGATGGTTTTGCTAATTCAGGCCACAGAAGGGTCCTCGAACGAATGTTATTCCAAAGGAAATTTAACTTGGTCCTGGTGGAATAGCTCTTTCAAGTACAGTGTTCGTAGTAGCAGCATTTCAAGAGGAGTTGGTTGGAAGGGACAGAAATGGGGAGGTGGGGACCAATTTGATCCAGGGTTTGGTTGACACATTTTGTGCAGTTCTGGTGCAACATAGAAAACGCCACTTACTCTTTCAGAGTTTGAGAGAACCCATTATCCAGATGTGTTTGCGCGAGAAAGACTAGCGGCCAAAATAGATCTACCTGAAGCAAGAATACAGGTACCCAGAGAACGTGTGGTTTCATGCCTTGCCCTTTCTAGAGACAAAGGTGCTTCTAAGGAACACCGTTCATTGATATAAAGAGTAAAAGGTTCAGTCTGATAAATGCTTTGCTGCCACTGGGGGAGGGGGGAGGTGGGGAGCAGAGCAAGTGCAGGGGGAGGTTGAGTTGGGAGTGGGCACAGGCCTAACCTGTTCCCTCTGATTTCCAGGTATGGTTTTCTAATCGGAGGGCCAAATGGAGAAGAGAAGAAAAACTGAGGAATCAGAGGAGACAGGCCAGCAACACACCCAGTCACATCCCCATCAGCAGTAGTTTCAGCACCAGTGTCTACCAGCCAATCCCGCAGCCCACCACGCCTGGTAATTTGAATCCTCCTACTACTAATAAGTGTGTTTCAGCTGTTTGCCCTGGCTCTGACTTCCAGCATGACTCTCTGCGGCGTCTCTCTCCCTGCAGTTTCCTCCTTCACCTCTGGCTCCATGTTGGGCCGGACAGACACAGCCCTGACAAACACGTACAGCGCTCTGCCGCCCATGCCCAGCTTCACCATGGCGAACAACCTGCCTATGCAAGTAAGTGAGGCCGCTGGCCATCTGCTTACTGGGTGCCTCGGAGAAGAAGTGAAGAAAGGGTCAGGGCCCGCAGACCTCGCTGGCCAGACCTCGCTGGCCACGCATGCGCCCTTGGGGGCCTTTCTCACTGCGGTGATTTAGCTTGGCCAGTCAAGGCTGAGGTGAAAACAGTCAGTCCACTCTTGTAGTTGGACTGATGGATTGATTGATTCATGCTCTTATAAAAAGCATAAAAGCCAAGTTAATCTGCCTCTTGCTCCAAGAGGATGTTAGCTTGATAATGTTGCGTGGGAATGGGGCATGTTTTGGGTACCGGTGAAAGTTGTGTCAGAAAACAGAAGTAATGCTGATAGTTATTATCACATTATCAGATAGTAAGGGGTTAGTATATGTAAATTTCGGTTCCTATTAATGTGTTCATATTAAGGAATACATAACCTGTGTCCGCATTTTGGACATTATTTAGTGTATCTGTGACAAGCCAGTGAGGAAGAGGAAAAAGGATCAGAAATAAGATTTATATTTGCATTGTGGGATATACTTTGATACAAAGGAATGGTGAATTTTCTTTCTATGGCTAAAGATAAGGATAAAAAAAGGAATACAGGTGCTTGCTAAAAATTTAGCGTGTCTTTGCCAAGAATCATGTAATGAGTTTGCGGTGCTCCTCACTGCCTGGGTAGGTCGATGCCCTTCCCTCGGTGTGACAACCCGCCTCTACTCTCCGTTCTGTCCCAAGTGTTTATCAGCTCCTACGTGTGCAAGGCCCTGTGGTAGGTTAGCCCTTTATGATGGAAGTTGTATAAGGCAGGTGGGCTATGTTAGAACTTTGGAGCTGGATGGAGTCTTGATGGGAAAACAATCGGTCTTCCTTCCGGTGGGCCTTCTGTGGTGAGTTTCCCAGGACTCCGGTTTGTGCAATGCTTAGAAGATGCCGGATGGTGTGAGATTGGCCAGTGTGAGCCGCTATTGGAAACAGTTCTGGGGCTACACAGATTGTTTACTCACCACTGAACATCTTTTGATGACTTTCAAGTCCAAATAGCAGCAAAATAAATGTTTCACAGCCTCCAGATGAATATACGAGCAGCTAGATAAGCGACTTCAGAGGAATTATTCCCATGTTTATTTTCATTGCATCTGGATATTAGTAGCCATATGCAATTAATGTGAATTAAGGGATTAACAGCCCATTGGTTGGTATTACTACAACTGCTTTGGAATTTTCCAGAAGTGAGGTTGCCTAGAGGAAATGATTTTGGGAATTAGAGACAAACGGAAGCTGAAATTCTGGCAGGGCCCTCAGGCCTTCTTGCCTCTTTGAACCTGATGTTAGCAGTCATCCTCTGACTTTAATAAGGCCACTGAGTGTCTTGTCCAGTTTTGTAAATTGTAGCGACATCTAGGTTCATGCAAAGATAACAAAGTGTGTACATGAGAAAACATTTAGAAGCAATTAAATAGGTGCTACTATTTTATTAAGGTTATTTCCAGATATAAAGTGGTGCCAGGCCAATTTAATTCAAACACTGACTTTTAAAAGTTACACACCTCATATGAAACAAAACATATATACTTTTGTAAAGCATAGAGAAAATTAAAAAGTTATTAGTGATTCTACTGTTCAGAGAAAATTACTCTCTGGATTTTAGAGTTGGGGTGTACTGGGCTGTCTGTCCATCAGTTCATCTTGTTGACCAAAATCTTCAACCATTTTACAAAGGGTGGGTGTCTCCCTCTGAATTTTCTCTAATGTGTCACCCTTTCTGAGAATGTGGATCATGAAATGTTAAACTTTTTTTCTGCAGTTTGCAGAACAGAGTAGGGCCATTATCTCCCTCATTCCTGGCATGATGCTTGTATTGATTCATCCCAGTCTTGCTGCCCTGGCATAGCTTCATGGAAGCTCGTGAGGGATTTTGTCCCAGAAAGGTTTACCTCCTCAATACCACCAGACCAGACACTTTAGAGGGCAGTGACCCAATTTTGTGGATAAAACCCAGTCTGTGTTTTTAGGTCTGTAAGGGAATCGCAGCTAATTCTCAGGATGGGGCTAGGTATTTACTGATGCCTCTAACCACTTTAATCTCAGGTCATTACGGATGTGTCTCTTCAAAGAATCTTTAATCCCATGAGTCCAACCATTAAAGGCTCCCAAGGTCCCCGAAGCAGACTTTATGGAGAACTCCCTCCACAGTTCTCTGCCCAAAGCCTGAGATACAGGATTTGGGGGTCACTAGATTCCCAAATAGATTGGATTTGCAGGAGAGGGGGTGTGTTTTAATGGAAGTCCTCATGCTATAGATTCTCTGACGATGCTGGCAGACGTCCAAGGTGAAAATGGACAGAAACCCTATTAATTTTATGGATAGTGCCAACCATCTAGCTAGACAGTTGTCTGAATTTGTATTACTTTTGGGCAACTTTACTCTAGCGGTGGTCAACGGAAGGACTGGCTGGAGGCCCGACTGTCGATATGGAATTCCAGTACTTTCCACCAGAGCGTCTTTAGTGATCAGACTCATTGGTAGAGTTCCTGGGGAGGAGAGAGCCTGGGGATGTGGCTGTGTGATGTGCTTCTCGGTAACCACAGGTCTGCCTTTCTCCTCTCAGCCCCCAGTCCCCAGCCAGACCTCCTCGTACTCCTGCATGCTGCCCACCAGCCCTTCGGTGAACGGGCGGAGTTACGATACCTACACCCCCCCACATATGCAGACACACATGAACAGTCAGCCAATGGGCACCTCGGGCACCACTTCCACAGGTGAGCCGCTGTTCCTCGCAGGCCGCACAGAGGTGGCCTTTACAGCCGCATTTGCCAGGTGATCTAACTTCGCTTGAAGTTACTCTAAAAAGAAAACCCTGGCCTTGTGTGATGGTGTGTTTAACTCTTTGCTGCTCACTTCTCAGGGGAGGGGGAACTGATCGGAAGGGGAAATTTAGTCAAGCCAGTTAATAACTTGACACCATGGAGACAATAAGCAAAGCTGTTTTTCCTGAATTGGGTCACAGAAGTTGTATATATGAAGACAAGGCCTGAGAATGTCAGTTTTCTGAAGAGAGGCTGTTAGCCAGAGTCAGCAGGGAGGGCCCCAGAGTGAGGGGCCTGGTGAGTGCTGTCAAAAGACTTCTCACCTTCCAAGCCCCTCCATGCCTTTCATCTCAGCTGAAGAAGTACCACATTGGTTTGCCAGAGATAGTTTTATTTAAAAATTTTTTAATGTTTATTTATTTTTGAGAGAGAGTGAGAGCGAGCAGGGGAGGGGCAGAGAGAGAGAGGGAGACAAAAGAGAGAAGCAGGATCCAGGCTCTGAGCTGTCAGCACAGAGCCTGATGCAGGGCTCGAACTCACGAACCATGAGATCGTTACCTGAGCTGAAGTTGGACGTGTAACCGACTGAGCCACCCAGGTGCCTCTTTGCCAGAGATAGTTATTGCTAAAGTTCCAAACATGCAAACAAATGGAGGTGTTTTGTGTGTGTGTGTGTGTGTGTGTGTGTGTGTGTGGACTTGGAATTCAATAGATATGTGTAAACATGTAATCTTGTTTCTGAAGGTTCTACTTTTGCTTGTGAGACTTTAAGTATTTTTTAAAAATACAGTTAGAATGTTAGAAAGTATTAAGAGATTTTTTTTTTTAAACCTATAAATCCATGCTTGTCTCTTGAAGGGAATTTCTACATGGCTATTTCTTTCATCCACTTCTAGGACTCATTTCCCCTGGTGTGTCAGTTCCTGTTCAAGTTCCTGGAAGTGAACCTGATATGTCTCAATATTGGCCAAGATTACAGTAAAAAAAAAAAAAAAAGGATATATGGTGTTAATTCAGTCAGTGACTATGTGGACACAACAGTTGGGCGTTCAGGAAGGAAAGGAAAATGGCTGTTAGAAGCACTTCAGATCTGCAATTGTGTCCTGTGTTGTACCACTGGGGAATGGACTTGAAGCAAGGACCTTTGTATCCAGAAGGCACGCTATCAGTTGGAACAAATCTTCATTTTGGTATCCAAACTTTTATTCATTTTGGTGTATTATTTGTAAATGGGCATTTGTATGTTATGAAAAAAAAAAGAACAACGTAGACTGGATGGATGTTTGATCTGTGTTGGTCATGAAGTTGTTTTAAAAAAAAAAAAAGGAAACCGTGATCAACAAGCTTTGCCACGAATTTAAGAGTTTTATCAAGATATATCAAATACTTTTACCCATCTGTTCATAGTTTATGGACTGATGTTCCAAGTTTGTATCATTCCTTTGCATATAATTAAACCTGGAACAACATGCACTAGATTTATGTAAGAATATCTGTTGGTTTTCCAAAGTTTGTTAACAGATGAAGTTTATGTGCAAAAAAAGGGTAAGATATAAATTCAAGGAAGAAAAAAGTTGATAGCTAAAAGGTAGAGTGTGTCTTCGATAAAAATCCAATTTGTTTTATGTCAAAATGTAAGTATTTGTCTTCCCTAGAAATCCTCAGAATGATTTCTATAATAAAGTTAATTTCATTTATATTTGACAAGAATACTCTATAGATGTTTTATACACATTTTCATGCGATCATACGTTTCTTTCTTGGCCGGCAAAAATTAATTGTTCTTAGATATAGTTGTATTACTGTTCACAGTCCAATCATTTTGTGCATCTAGAATTCATTCCTAATCAATTAAAAGTGCTTGCAAGAGTTTTAAACTTAAGTGTTTTTGAAGTTGTTCACAACTACATATCAAAATTAACCATTATTGATTGTAAAAACCATGCCAAAGCCTTTGTATTTCCTTTATTATACTATTTTCTTTTTAACCTTATAGTGTGGTGTTACAAATTTTGTTTCCATGTTAGATTACCATTCTAAACCAATGGTTGCCTTCACACATACTCTATTTTATATCCTGATAATTCTTAAAGAAAGAGTTCTTACCGCTTCATTAATTAGAAATGTGTTAGGAAAAAAAATCCACTTAAAGCCGCGTGTAGATCTGTGCCCATTTATACCCACAACGTACATATATAAAAATGGTCACATTCCCCAGTTAGCCATTTAATGCAAAAACTCAAAGTCTAGAAATAATTTAAAAACGCAACAAGCTATTAACTAGGAATTGTCTTTTGAATTAGGGCTGGCATTTTCAATCTGGGCAGATTTCCATTGTCAGCCTGTTTCAACAGCGATTTCACTGAAGTATATTCAAAAGTAGATTTCTTATACAAGACTCTCTGAAAGCTGTTGCCTTTCTCAAATAGGCCCTCTCCCTTCCCTCTCCCTCCCCTTTGCACAAGAGGCATCATTTCCCATTGAACCACTACAGCTGTTCCCATTTGAATCTCGCTTTCTGTGCGGTTGTGGATGGTTGGAGGGTGGAGGGGGGATGTTGCATGTCAAGGAATAATGAGCACAGACACATCAACAGACAACAACAAAGCGGACTGTGACTGGCCGATCGGAGCTAAAGGCCTTCAGTCATTGGCAGCTTAAGCCAAACATTCCCAAATCTATGAAGCAGGGCCTATTGTTGGTCAGTTGTTATTTGCAATGAAGCACAGATCTGATCATGTTTAAAGTGGCGGCACGCAGGGCAGGAGTGCTTGAGCCCAAGCAAAGGATGGAAAAAAATAAGCCTTTGTTGGGTGAAAAAGGCCTGTCTGAGACTTTTATTTCTGCCTGTTCTGTGCAACATATAAGTCAATATAGATAAGTTTTCTGCAAAGTTCAGTCAAAGGCTGGGGGTTCTGGCGGCCTAGATGAAATGCTTGCACAGGCAGAAACCTCTGGGGACAAAGACACATTTCCACTGAATTGTACTCTGCTCTTTTGTTTTGTTTTGTTTTTAATCCCCGAAGGCAAGTGATCAGAAATACAGAAATTAATAGAAGGCTTTAAAAAACAGCCCTCTGGTTCAACATTTACTATTTTCTGGTTAGGGAGTTACTTGTGAACAGATCATTGTGATTCATCTCTGTGGCATTCTATCCATTAATCGTTTGATTCCGCCAGAGTTACTTGCACATTTAGAGACACCTTCTTAGGTTGAGTGCAGTTTTTATACGTGCGCGTATAGTTTTATTCAATGTCAGCCTTCACTGCCCGCTTGCACACTTCTGCAGTGGCGTGTGCACGCATGCGCACTGTTGGTACAGTCGCTGGCGCAGATATTTCTACCTCCTGGCATTTTGCAGCCTGTATTCCCCGAGGGACACGTACCCGGGGAACTGTCAAGAGAAGGGCCCGTGTGGGGTGTGCTGCAGCTGCTGGCTGGCTCACTCCTTCCCTGCAAGAAGGGGCGGTTTCCAACCAGCTATGATTTGGGTCAGGGTCAGGCAGCCAGTCCCGGCCCGCGGCTCCGTTGTGTGCAGGGCACAGACTTGGGAGAACTGGGTGTGGCACCGCGGGCTCAGGAGCTGGCAGTGGGAGAAGCGGGTCTGTGTGTGTGTGCGCTCGGGCACGTACACCTGTCCTCTGAGGGTCAGGACTGCCAGGGCGCAGTGGCGCAGCCTGGTTTCGTCTGGAGAACGGCTGCCCGGCCGCAGAAGCTGCCCGGTGCAGCAGGACGGAGCGGCTGCCTTGCCTTCTGCCCTGGCCCTAGGGAGACGGGCTGTCCTTCCGAACAGAGCTCCGGGCACTCTCCCGGGGCCAGCGCGGCAGGCGCTGTGTGGAAGCGGTGCCTTCGTTGTTGGAATCATTTATTTTTATTCATTTACTGATAGGTATATTTATATACTTATCGATGGGAATGCTGCAGGGAGGCTGTGAGGCCATTTTCCAGGATGGGGGCCATCTATCTGTCTGGGATGTCCTCGGCAGAATCGCAAGACTAACGGCCTATGTTTTTCTCCAAACTTGACTGCCTTAGGCAGACCAGGTGAACAGAATTAGAGCTGAGTGAATGAGAAACATTCAAATTACACTGAATGGATTTCCAGAATATCCCAGTCCTGCGCCCTCCCCCCCCCCCCCCCCCCCCCCCCCCCCCCCCCCCCCCCCGCCCCACCCCAAATCTGGGCTTCCTAACTCTTAACTGGTAAGCAACTGGCTTCTTGCTGTGGCTTACACAATCATTAATCCCTACCTTTTTTTGCTCCCCATCAGAATTAGGTTTCCTAAAATTCACTGATACAGTATTAAGCTCTAGCTTTGTTTTGTTAATTTTTTGCTATATAGGGTGGGGTCTATATTCTTCTCCTTATTTCTTTTTGCTCTGGGACTTAATATTAACAAGATTTACAAAAAAGGCTCTCAATTATGCTCAAGAAGGCCAAACACAAATCCTTTCCTTTTCTGTTTCTCAAGATTAAACCTCATCTGTGGTATTTTTTGTCTCCTTGTTTTTTGTTTTTTGCCTGGTCCTGAATGATTTCACTTGCTCATTTTTAAAGTTCCAAATGTAAGTACTTAGGGTTAGTATTTAAGTTTGGTGGTGTTGACGGGGACTATCTTTGGAAAGCATTAATAGGATGTTTTAGAAATGACATTCATAATGGGCTCTAAACAAATGAATAGGGGTCCCCCCCTTCCCTTTTGTATGTGTATGCGTGTGTCTGATTCTTTAAAATTAAAAGACAGGGAATTGATTGCAGAGTGTTGCTTCCTTTTGAAGTGTTTTTTTTTTTTTTTTTTAATGCGGGCTTTTTTCTCCCCCCCCCTCCCCCATCTAGTGTTAGTATTTGCAGATTCTGGAAGTAGAGATAAAAAATAAATGGAAGAGAGGAAGAGAAAATTGGAAACTGTCTGATGGCTACTAAGAAGAAATTCAGAAGTTATTAGAACCTCAGCACCTGAGAGCAGGGTGCAGTAGTCAAAATATTTACCTCATGTTAAAGAAAGGCAAATCTAGTGTAAGGAATGAATACTGTATAGGGTTATGAAGTTTTAGAAACATTTAAAAGATATGAGGATATTTCAAATACTGTGGTTGGCATAGTGACTTACTTAAATATTTATATCTTTGAGACAAGTTGATAATTGAAAAAAATGTGTTAATGGAGTTCATAAGGTATCAAAACAGTCTATATACCTACTATAGCATTACTGAAGACCAGTATTTTTATGCAGTACATTATCAGAATATGAATAATTGATAATGTTTCCAGAAGAAAGGAAAACACATTTTTAGAGTGGGTTTTTATCAAGGGAAAACAAAAATATATATCCTTCTGTAGCTTATTTTTACAACGGCTGCCTAGAGAATCAAACAACAAAGCTCTTGGTTCTGCTTTATGGAAAGCCCAGCTACTGTTCTTGTTCAACATGCACTTTTACTGAGTTTGAAAAGTTTCTTTTATATTTAAGGGTTCAAATTATGCATTCAAATTTTATAGCATTTATCTATTTGCAAAGCACATATTAACTAGTAATTGGGTGTTCATTTTATAGACATGGTAGCCAGGGTAGTAAATCAGTGACCTCTCAAGTATTTTTGACAAGCAATTTACGTATCTGATGACCTCACATTTCCTTTTGAGAGTCAAATGCTATATAATCGTTCCATTGTGTGTTTGTATAAAGTGAATCCCAACATGGTAAGAAACGGGTTAGAGTTATTAAAATAATAACCCAACTAAAATATCCACTTGAATTTTCTTCAGACTGTTCATAATGCTCTCAAAGGACATAGTGGGGCTTTTGTGGAGTCCCTGCACATTATTTATTATCTGTGGACTAAACTGATTTTTTGAAGTTGCTTTAAAATTTAAAAGCACCTTTGCTTGATATAAAAGCCCTTTAATTTTAACTGACAGATCAATTCTGAAACTTTATTTTGAAAAGAAAATGGGGAAGAATTTGTGTCTTTTGAATTAAAAGAAGTAAAAAAATAAACCAGACATTCTAAAAAAATAGAAGAACCCGATTTTTAGTACTAATAAAATAGCGGGTGACAAAATAGTTGTCTTTTTGATTTTGATCACAAAAAATAAACTGGTAGTGACAGGATATGATGGAGAGATTTGACATCCTGGCAAATCACTGTCATTGATTCAATTATTCTAATTCTGAATAAAACCTGTATACAGTATGTGTTTATGCTACAGTGGGTTTTTTTTTTCTAAGTGACTGACATTCATCATATTGGTTAGACAGTTTTAAAAACCTAGTCTTTGTTTTCTACAGTGTTGTCAAGAGCAAATAAAGTATAATTTGTAGTGTATTAGAAGCAAACTGCTTAAAAATGCTAGTTATAACTGCTTCAAAATTTATTCTAACATACCTGAAGATGTATTTTGGAAATTTGGTTTCTCCTGATGGATGTTAAACAGCTTTTTAAAAATTGAGATTCTTTACTTAAATGCAAGTTACTTTTCAACCTTCACTTTTTGTCTATGTGTCAAAAGCCTTGAGAATATGGAACTATGATTCAAAAACCTACTGTTCTATATGGAAACTATTTCGATATGCTATCTACTCCAAAAACACATGTTTATGTGGTTATAAATGTACACTCCCAACCAATTCTCAAAACTCACAAAGGGCTTACCTGATGCAATGGAAATCTGAGTTAGTTTTACTTTTCTGCTTTGTCTCAGACCTGTGTTCTGCAAAAATCTCTCACCAAGCTTCATACATGCCTTCCCCTAGCATTCATGTCGCTGTCAGTTTGAATTTCAATCCTGAATTATGTCTGTTGACGTAATTTCATAGTGCTGACTTCAAGTGTTTAGGATTACTAAACAGAAGAACATCACCTTCTTCTTCTATGCTTTCTGTCACTCAAGTTCTTTATATTTATTAACCTCTATGGTAGACTGCTTATCTTTAATGGAATCTTAATCCTGAAATATCATTTTGCCTTCATCAGTTTAATAACAGGATGCATACATGCAAACTCATTTTATTATAGTCTTCATATGTGAGCAAATGAATTTTTCATTTTGAAAAAAAAAACTTTAGCACATTTGGGGGCAAGTGACTTCTTCAGAAATAAAGAGAAAATGTTTTTCATATGCAATTACTAATCTCATACTGTTTTACATGCTACCTGCTGTCATGTGCACTTCACCATGAACTAAGTGCCTTAAAATATGTACACTAATGACCACTGTGAGGCACTTTTGAGTTTTTGATGTTTTATTGAAAATTAAGGTCATCTGTTTTCTGTAGATAGAGCATAAAACAAAATGTTCAAATGAAAGTATTTTTGCTCCACTCCTTCTGTAGAAAAAGTTGGTGCCTCATTTTGCAATGCTAACTGTTTTTCAAGGATTGGAGGGTCAAGTCGTTAAGAAAAATATTTACATAAGCTATTAGCAGTCATAATGAGAGCGTCATACAATCCTGCGCGCAGCTACTAAGGAGGAGCCCTAGAAGTCCAGGTGCTTCTTGCCTCCGGCCATCGCGCCACAGCCTGGGCCCAGCAGCTTGGAGGGTTCTGCCAGATCCTGTTTGCTCGAGCGGCTCACCGTGTCTGACAAGTCTGGAGGCAAATGCAGTCGCTATGGCAGGAGATTCCAGGAGAAGGAGAGAAGAAAAAAAAATTTGCTTTAGCCAGCACACTTCAGAATACAATATTATGCTCTGTTGATCAGCATTTAGTCTTGCATATAAAATTCCTGCTAAAACAATTCTTCAGACTGAAGCCCAACAGAATCACATCTTATTCCTACCAGGCTTTACAAATTGTAGCCCTTGCGGAAACTGGACCAGGGATCTTAGGGGGACATTTCCAGAGTCCTGGACCTATTAAGATGTCTCTTATTTAGGTCAAAATGAAAACGCATAAATGCATAAATGGAAGGCATACTTGAAAAGTAACACTATTCTAACAATGGCAGGGTTGTTCTGTGGCTTTGTTTTGCTTTTGCAAGGGTTCCAAAATGCTATTTTTTAACTGAATGTAGCTTTTCAGCAACTATGGATTCCTACAAATGCTTATTTCCCTTTATGGATAAGTTGACCTGGTGATTCTATTTCAAGGCCATACTTTCTTTAGGAACTCATAATTTTTGTAGAAATATTGACATAATTGACATAACGATAAAAAGGATACCAATCAAAGGGTATTTTATATACTCAGGTAAGTCAGCTATGATATCAATTTCAAGTCTTGGTAAGTTTGTCTCTATGCATGAATGACATCGGTTATGTTTTCAAAAGTATAGTTTACCTTTGACCATCTTCCCATCTTAACTGTTCTTCTGCAGATAGGGGCTGATTCAAGCAAATGCAGTAAGTGACCATAATTCACAAAAGTTACTATAATTAGGTCATATTTTAAAAGAGCTTTTTGGGGCATCTGGGTAGCTCAGTTGGTTAAGTGCCTGACTTTGGCTCAGGTTATGATCTCCCGGTTTGTGGGCTGGAGCCCTGTGTTAGGCTCTGTGCTGACAGGTCGGAGCCTGGAGCCTGCTTTGGATTCTGTGTCTCCCTCTCTCTCTGCTTCTCCCCTGCTCACTCTCTCTCTCTCTCTCTCTCTCTCAAAAATAAAAGAACTTTTTGGTTTTCAAAAGGATCTCTCTCAATTTCTTTTAACTGTCAGTTCCCCCAGCCTATACGATTTTCACAAAAATCCAGGCTTAAAGGAACATATCTGTTGTGTGAAGCATACAGTGAGTGTAGGAGGCTAAAGGTAAGTGAGGTAGGATGGGTCCACCCATGTCTAACCAAAGCATTATGGGAGCAAACTGACCTGGAGACAACCTATCTGAAACCCGTCACTTGGAAAACTCCCTTCAATATGAAAAAAAAAAAAAAAAAAAAAAAAAAAAAAAAGAAAAAAGAAGAACCATCTTTTTTTGTCAAAATATTATGATCCATAAGCATATGTTCCGGCTAGTTTCTTTCCTGATAAAAGGCCTGTTTATTGTTATGTAAACACAAGCTGTGTGCAGAGGATCAAAATATTTTAAAACATTAAAACATTTTAGAAAAATACTCTTCTTTGATTTCAGTTTGCCTGTTCTTACTGTTTAATGCCCATTGACCTAGTACAAAAGAAACCACGACGGACATATGACCAACAAAGATGGCAGAAAGGTGGGGAAAAGTTGTAATCGCCATATGATGACATCCATATAGTAATATTAATTTGTATCCATGGCACCCAAACTGTCATATGTTAAATAAATAAATGTCTATTTCTTAAATGATTTTTAAAAAGCTCAAATAAAGACATTACTCGTTTCTTCGTTTTAAACAATTGTTTCATTTCTTCACAGCCTTGGTTTTTCCAGAAACCATTTAAGGCAGGAATGAAAGCATGAAAGGCTCAGGAATCTTAAAGACATGCATGACTCTAACTGAGGTCAGAATGTCTTTGCAGTGTTAACTCTGTCAGTGTTCGTGTGAGGAAACTGGAGGGAGAGAGACATCTAATTTTTAAAAAAAAATTAAAAAATCTTTATTTGCTTTTGAGAGAGAGAGAGAGAGAGAGAGAGAGACAGGGCACGAGCAGGGGAGGGGCAGAGAGAGAGAGAGAGGGAGACATAGAATCCGAAGCAGGCTCTGAGCTATCAGCACAGAGCCCAATGCGGGGCTCAAACTAACAGACGGACCATGAGATCATGACCTGAGCCAAAGTCAGACGCTTAACTGACTTGAGCCACCCAGGTGCCCCGAGAAATATCTAATTGTGTGTCTGAACTTCAGTGCTTCTTTAAGATCTATTGCTAAGGAACAAAGGAAAAATGACTAGGATATATGCATGATCTGAAGGTTATCTGCAACTTAAAGAAAATTCACCATAAAACAACGTGTGTGTGTATACTTTTGGTTGGGACCTCATAAGGATGATGTCAGATGGTGATTAGGCTATTTTGGAAATCAACTGGAGTCAACAAATATTTAGAATCTACTCGAAGCAGGGTGACCAGAGCACCTTCCTCATTACTCATTTCCTTACAATTCCAGGAACACAAGACAAGCAAGCTGGTAACCACCATAGTGAGAAGCCCAAGATATGTCTATAAGAAAGGCAGAGACAAAGCAGGAACGAGGTGGACGAAGGAGAGCAGGGAAAAGCTTCATGGAGATGGGCTAGGTGCTAAATAATGAATTGGATTCTGACATGTAGAAAAGGTGATTTGCTCAACGTTAGAGCTGATACATCTTTAAGATGCATTTGGGTGAAGGGTCACACTGTTCTGATCATCTAAATGAGGAAACTAGTATAGTTTGTTCAGAACACCATAATACAATTTATTTCAGGAGCTTACCTATTTGCTAAAAATTTCTCCTCCTCTGCTTCTCTAGGCAATGAACGTGAGCCAGTTGGCTGAAAGCCCTTCATAGCAAAAGTAGCTAAATGTGACGGGTGACATGCTTGGAAATCTTTCAGGTTGAATGGCTTTGAAGAAGAGTCAGCTATCATTCGTGTGTAACTTCTGAGCACAAAATTTTGGTGGATATGATGAAATGTTTCTGACCAAATGCTACATTGTAAACGCTAGTTGCATACTTATGGCCTTTTGAAAAGGACAACGATGGCTTTTGGAAATATGTGAGTGATTTCGCCCACTCTGGTAATTGTTGCTTGAATGAGCTTACTATGCGCTCTAAATTCTCAACCAGTGGGTTTTGTTTCCTTCCTTTCTGAGCCTCCCCCTGTGCGCCATGTCAGTGCGATGTGAAGTAGGGAGGAAGAAGGAGAGATCAGGTTCCGGGCTTGCCAGGTGTGTGAGGGACTTTTCCTTTGTGGCTTCCAAAGCATTTACACGTTTGACATGTAAATGTTCAGATGCTGCTGTGCCCTAGATCTGTCTCCTGAAAAAAAGACCACTCTGTAAAATACTCTGCATAGTATGTGACCTCCTTTAGAATAAAACTGCAAGGGTGTGGGGACGTATAAACTTTTAGACCTTGCTGTTTCTTGAGTAATGCTTTCAATAAAAATCAGACTGTTTTAAAAAAAAAAAAACCATACCATTTTCAACCTCGCAAGCCAAACCAAAGTATTCATCTTTCTCATTTTATAGCTGGAGTTTTGAGGCAAGGGCCAAAAACGTATCCTACATCTTGAGTGGAAACTTTTCCCACCTGATTTTCTTTTCCCAGGTTCTGGGAGGAAGGGATTGTGCTGCTAATGCAAGAGCTGCCCGTCTGGCTGTGTGCCTGCTTTCCCCCTTGATGCCTTGTCTAAAATGATTTTTTTTTAAATGTTTTATTTATTTCTAGGAGAGAGAGAGAGAGAGAGAGAGAGAGAGAGAGAGAGACAGTGTGAGCAGGAGAGGGTCAGAGAGAGAGGGAGTCACAGACTCTGAAACAGGCTCCAGGCTCTGAGCTGGCAGTCAGCACAGAGCCCGACGCGGGGCTCGAACCCACGAACCGCGAGATCATGACCTAATCGAAAGTCGGACGCTTAACCGACTAAGCCACCCAGGCGCCCCTAAAATGATGATTTCTATGGAGGCAAAGGGATTTGAGAAAGATGTGAGAGCTCCCAATGTCTCACCTAGAGGCCTAGGTGATCTGCAGTGATCCCGCTGGATTAACGGGTCCCCTTCTCTGGTGCTACAAGGTGGGGACAGCGGGGCTGCCAACCTACCCTGGCAGATTAGGGGCGCTCCTGCCGAAAGGCACCTTTAGGCCCGTAGGAAGCCCTGGGTCAGAACAAAGCAGCAGCAACAGGAGTGCTCTGCTCTGCAGCTCGGGGCGGTACTGAGCTGAGCCAGACTTTGAGAATTTCCCCCCACTGCCTACATTTCTGTCTCTTCTTTGGGCTCAGCCACTGTCCGAATGTTGTTCCTTCTTGAGTCGGCGACTAAACTGGGTCCTCGTAGAGGCGTGGGACTGGGTTTCCTGGCTCCGGAGCTTCCCTTCCTAATTCCTTTTCTCCCAGCCTGCCAGACCTGTGCTCAGTACTCCCCGTTCCCAGACAGAAGGGGCCAGATAATGAACCTAGATAACACCTGGACTTGAGACAAATTGCAGGTAAATACCCATTAAAATAAGTTTAATCAACTTATATTTTTCATATTTTGCCAAGACCAAACCACCAGGCACTGTTTGTTTTCTCTTTGATGTCGTACATTTTAACCCTTCACAGATGGATAGACATTTGTTTTAATCCTTTTTATATTTCTGACATTTCCTGAAGGGCCATCCTTTGTATTACTCAGAGTCACAGAAATCAGTGTGAATATTTCAAAAATACTTTCTAATAGACTTTTCTTTTGTTCTTTAAAACACAGCTAATTTATTTTATTTCAAAAATTTTTTAATGTTTATTGATTTTTGAGAGAGAGAGAGACAGAACATGAGCCGGGAAGGGGCAGAGAGAGAGAGGGAGACACAGGATCTGAAGCAGGCTTCAGGCTCTAAGCTGTCAGCACAGAGCCTGACACGGGGCTTGACCCCACAAACCATGAGATCATGACCTGAGCCGAAGTCGGACGCTTAACCTACTGAACCACCTAGGCATCCCTAAGATTTTATTTTTAAGTAATCTCTGCACTGAGTGTGGGGCTTGAACTTACACCTCCGAGGTCCTGATCTGCCG